CAAATCTCGAATCGCATGCGTCTCCGGTGCGTTAACAAAACTACTCAGCAGCAGGAAGAGTGATGGAATGAGAATGGATTGATCCACCGGTTCCCCGTTCTGACCCTCAAGCGCATCTTTCTCACGCAGTGCGCGCTCACAGACCTCTGCTGAGTTTTTCTCGTCAAACAGTTCCCAGTATGTGATGCTTAAAACAGACAACGTAGTTAGACGCGCGAGGCTCGGCGTTGGCCTTTCTTCATCCTGTGCCCGCAAGACACCTTGTAGAATATCCCTAAGTTCGTCGACTTTCTTTGTGCAGTAAAGGAGTTTAGTTAGACGGACAGTACAAAATCTGACTCTCTCGCCTGACGGTGGGAAAGCAAGAACGCTCTCAGTTAGTACGACAGTCCTGCAGGTCCAGGCCTCGCCCCAAAGTTGGTGGGTTTCGTACCAGTCTGCGAGACGTTCAAGGTGGTTTATTAGAGATATTGTGCCATTTAACTGGGAGTTGAGGGAATCCGCAAATGAACTCGCATTCAGGCTGATGGAGTAACGATCGGATTGATAGAGGACCAATGCGCCAAGTAACAATCTTTCTGCTGCCCTGCATCGGCCTCGAGCGGCGTATATCCTTCCCTTACGGTACATGATCTTGGACCACTCAAGCTTGCATGAAGGTCGACGAAACAGCCGATGCGCATGACGATGTATCCCAGCAAGCACCGCCCCACGATGCTCTCGTAGGCGCGGGAACAGGGGGATGCGAAGGGTAGTGCATCTTCGCGCGCGCTTGTCTCTCGACTGCCTGTTCGCTGGAAATACCAGGGAGCCTGAGGTGCAGCGTGAAGCTGTCATCTCTCACTGCGAGCACTCCTGATGATAAAGGAACGGTGATGAAGTATTTGGGGGCAAATAAAAGGATGAGGTTGGCATCATCCAGCTGAGGTGATCCACCGATACCTCATAACGGGGGAGCGTAGAATCAGACCAACCCTCGGGCGCAGGGAGAGGAGAGGCTGTGTCAGAAGGCAAGGCTGAACGATGATCGGCTACTAGTATTTCAAATACTGGCCTCCAATCGGATGCCGACGTGGTGGTGCAGGATGCAACTGCGGATGGGGCTGTGACCATGGCGAAAATTCAGCCGTCACGATTCATAGAGGATATGAATCGCTCCCTCTAACTACCGGGTAGTTGTAGAATATTGTAACCCAGGAAGCGGAAATATCTACAAAAGGAGAAATGAAGTCGCACTCGCAGCGCTGGGTCCTCCGTGACACCCTCATTACTCCCGCCGACATCAGCCTCGGCTCGTTCATCCCAAATGTCACCGACCTTGATCTCGATATCTTGAACGATACCATCTCCCTCTCCGAGCACGAACTATCCGTATCGTGCACCGACAATGTCACCCTCTCAGTCTGTAGCCACCAAGCCTCCCGCCTCGAAGTTCTCATTGCCCGACTCGTAGGCGCATCCTCACTCTCCGCACAGTCGACAGAGACCCACGTCCTCGCCAAACAGAGCTACCTATACACCCTGCGCCAGCCGACGCAAGTTTTCGAGCGCGCATGCACGAGCCCCGCCGTGCGTGCGTGGATTCAACATCAGATTGAGGAGGGTAACCGGCACCGCATATACTTTGTGGTCGGAATCAGGACCGTGGTCGACTCAACAGCGTCGGTCGACCGGAATGATCAAGTTAAACGGACGGCGGATATCTCTCTTCCCGATAATATCTTGGATTCCGGTCTTCAGGCACTGGGTGGTGGTGTTCGCGTTGGCGGGAACAGAGAGAGAGGGTCCGGAGTCAGCCATCAGTACTCGGCCACAGGGGAGCAGATTTTGGCGCTGAGGTTGAAGAGAGTTCGATTGCGATTCTTTGAGCCAGGGGGTGTGGATCGAGCACGGCTGGAGAGAAATACGGCGTGGATTATGGTGTCGGGTAATCGAACGATCCAGGACGATGAGAGTGAAGGCGTGGAGGCGGATCTTGACGGTGCGGGCGAAACTAGCGAGACGGAGACAATGGAGGTTAATTTCCTCGGGGACGATGAAGAGGAAGAAGAAGATGAAGAGGATGAATAGGGGGAGGAGGAAGAGGATGATGATCGCTCAATAAGAACTGTAGAGTAGACTTCTATGATAACTCCGAGTTGTGGTCTAGCGGGCTGGGAACAAGCAATAACCCTAAAATCTACATACTGTAGGGTAAACACCTCTCAGGCTAATGCAAGGCTGAACACGGGATTGGATCCCTTCTGTACTTAAACCATCACCTTTGCCCCTTTCCCTTTTTTACTTCCACTTCACCTCCATCACCTCCCTCCATCCAGTATTACATGCCCAAATGGCCCACGCTTCTGGAGCTACCACAAATAATAACACGATATCCAATTCGCTTCGGAGGGAAGATCAAGAACGAAAAGAGGAAGATAAAGAGAAAGAACAACAAAAAGGCCGTAACTCGTAAGGTTTACCTTCTATAAGACGTGACTTTTGACAACGACCGATGGAAGCAATTGCTCATCTGCAACAGTACAATCTGGGATCGCTCCTTTCAACATCTTCGAAGGCTTAGCCGAGACACGAAAGCCCGAATCTCCAGCAATGCAGCATCCAGCCGGCGCAGAAACTCCCCACCACCACTCTCTCGGGGCGAACTCGACGCAGAGATCATTCGATTCCGCACCATAATCGCAAAGACCTCGGCAGTAGAGCTCGGGGGAGTATACAAGCCAAATCCCTATGTAGATTTGTGTGATCTGCTTGCATCACGATATCGGCTGTCTCAATCCGTCGCAGATCTGTACGAGGCGGAGAATATCCTCCATGGCGCAATAGAGCGCGAGATCCCTGGGAAGAAGTTGGATGTGGAATACTTTAAGGAGACTTCAAAGGCTGCCTGGGCGGGCATCCTTCGCCTCATGTTCAATGAGCAGCTGATTGATTTAGAGACTCTGGACGAGGGCATCTTGAGCCTACGTCTGCTCTTGTACGAAGCATTTCTCCCGGAAATCCGGACAACTGAAACGCTGGCAATGTGTCTGGCGGCGAGATATGGCGCTTCTGGGGCTGTATTCGACTTGCGTGAAGCTCTTGGTCTCATGCAGGACCTCTACAACGGTAGACCGCGATTACATGACAGCCCTGCGGTCTTTATGTGGTTGGACATGCATTCAATGCTGTACCATGTTTTCGGTGACATACAGGCGCTCCGACGCGGTATCACTGATATCAAGACTCGCTCCTCGGCGGATCTAAAGTCTCCGCGTGAATGGACACTAGCTTCCACTCTTTACGCAATCTACCAGCAATTCAAGATTTCCTCTGACCGTGACGAAGGCATTTCAATAGCCCGCAAGGTATTATCAACATCGAGAAGTCTCAGCTGGCTTGATAGAGCCGACTGGTTACAGTTGCTGGCCCGACTCCTGTGGGAAAAGGACCACCAATCTGCGAAAGACGAGGCAGTCATGTGGGCCAACCTGGCAGTCGGCATGGCGGCGGAGGGACATCCCTGCAAAGCCAAAGCCTTTGCCCTTGTGGGAGAGTTGATGATCAAATCTTTCGAGCGATCAGACCGGATAGCGGACCTCAACGAAGCGATCTCCGTTCTTGATAGCGCGCGGAATTTACCTCCCCCGACGCATCCTTCTCAGATTGAGACAACATACATCCTCGGGATAGCTCTGAAGACTAGACATTCTGCAACCGGCGATCTGGAAGATCTCGGAACTGGTATTTCCACCGCTCAAGAAGCCCTCGTCCCAGGTGGCCGGTGGCTTCCTCAGTCTCGATTGCAGGGTGTTCTAGGAGAGCTAATGTGGCAGAGATTCCTCTGTACCAGCAATTTCAGCGACTTAGATGAAGCTACCCGGTTCACAAAAGAGGCAATTTCTCTTTTGCCGAAATACCATCCTTCCGTGTTCGCTTTATGGGACCAGCATTGCGCGATGCTAAAGACTGAAGCTCGGCGAAGCGGAGACAGATCAGCAGCAATAGCTGCACACAAGGAAGTTTTGGCCCGTATACCTGCCAATGATGTGCATCAACAGGGACTTCTTGTTCGCCTTGCTAGCCTCCAGATCGCGCAATTTGACAGGACAGTATCCCTGGTTGACCGGGAGGCGGCAACGGCAACGCTATCCCAGGCACAGATCGGGCTCGAAGGTGCCTTAGCCACTCCCAGGGACTTTTACAGTCGATGTAAACTAATCGGGCTCTGTTGTCGGCTATATTCATCGTCATTCGATTGCGGTGAGCACCTTCATTATCTGATTACTGCAAAGGATCTGCTGGAGAACGAATATAGATCCCTTCGGTTCTTGATATACTATCGGCTAGGGAAACTTTTGGCACAGCTCTCTGGTGATTTAATCACAGATGCCATTAGATACATGGATATGTCGCTTGAATGTGCGCCCAGCCTGCATTGGAAAGTGCCAAGAATAAGATACCATCTTGCACTGCTCCATGTCGCTCGTTATGAGGCCTCAGGAATGGAAAGCCATCTATCTGCCGCAATTGATCTGGCGCGGAGTGCCGTTGATAGTATGCCTCTGCAGCATTATAAGCGTCCTCTTGTTGTTCACGGTCTTGCACGGCTTTTGGGATTGAGGCACCAGCGAACCACAGTAGCGTCTGACCTAGACGAAGCTATCCGCTTAGCCAGAGATGCTCTGGAGCAAAGCCCGTCACACTCAGAGGGCTACTGTGAGATACTGACGGGGCTTGGGGAACTGGCCTCTATGAGTTTCGAGCGAAGGGGAGATCTCGAAGCTGTCAGACAGACCCTTGTCCAAGTTTCCGAAACTCTGGACTGGTTGCCTCCAGAGTACTCTGTCCGAATTCGCATCTCACAGACTGCGGGTGTTCTGCATGGGCATATTGCGCAGCAGACCAACTCTGCGGCTGACCTCGACCGTGGCATACGGGCTTTTCGGGAAGCGGTCCAATTGATCACAGGCGAGGGGTCGAGAATGGCGGAGGTACTTGATGGCCTGGGCCGGCTCCTAATGATGCAATACCAGCATACCGGGAAAGATGAGATTATCGACCAGGCAATTGATTCCAGTGCGCTGGCAGTCGCAAACATTCCTTTCAGTCATCCGCACAGGGCTGTGGTCCTTGACACCCACGGTCAGCAATACATAGCTCGCGCCAAACGAGCCGCCTCCGAGACATCTAATGCAGATTTCGACCGAGCGCTGCAATACTTTCAGGAAGCTCTGAACGCTCCACACGCGGTACTTCTCGACCGCGTAGAAGCCGGTCAGCGAGCTTTCCACTGCCAAATTCAGCGAAAAGACTGGGTCAGTGCGTCCAGGTTGTCGACAGCTGTCATGGAACTGCTTCCCAAGTTGGTTCTTCGGTGGCTCCCACGCGAAGACCAACAGCGGATTATCCAGCGTTTGACTGGGTTCTCGAGTCTCGCCGCCTCCGCAGTTCTCAATGCCGGTGGAAGGCCAGGGGCTGCTCTCCAGGTACTTGAAGGAGGCCGCGGGGTGATTGCAGGATTGACAATCGACTTGCACAGCGATATCTCCCGACTGCGCCAACATCAGGGTATGCTGTATGCTCAATATATCAGCTTGCGTGATAACGCATTTGTGCAAAAATTTAGCGATCTGGTAATCTCATCATCCCCGTCAACTTCGTCGCAGAGCATGAGCTCCAAACTCGCCCAGCACCGTGAGAGCTCTCAGCAGTTGGAGAAGATGGAGACCACAATCCGCCAGATTCCCGGATTTGAGCGGTTTCTCCTGCCCGCGGAGGAAGCAGAGCTCTTGCAACTTGCCATACGCGGACCAATCATCTCGTTCAACGTCACTGAGCATCGCAGCGACGCCCTAATCCTCACCTCCAAGGGTGTCGATGCCATCGACCTCGTTAACCTTCACTATGCCGACCTCGTCCGCAATATGCGGAAGCTTGTGGGCAGTAACAAGCTGTCCAGCGGAAAGCCCAGCTCACGATCCCGCCGCAGACGAGAGCTCCAACGCATCCTACATTGGATATGGGACGTAGCTGTCTATCCGGTCCTTTCACGCCTAGGATATATCTCCCCCATTCATGCCACTAACTCAGACCTACCACGCGTATGGTGGCTATGCACCGGCTATATGGGCCTAGCACCCCTGCACGCAGCAGGCCAACCCCAGGGTCCAAGCACCTCCGATTTCGTCATATCAAGCTACACCCCCACCATCAAAGCCCTCCAACACGCCCGCGAGATCAGCCGCAACCGTCATCTAGAAGTGAATCCGCAACTCCTCATGATCGAAATGCCCGAAACACCCGGAAAAGCAGCCCTTAACACAACCGCAGAGCTCGCCGCTATCTCCCATACCGTCCACCCACTCATCACACATCCAACAATCCTTTCGAACCCAAGCAAGCGAGCAGTCTGCGAGGCTATATCAGCCTATCACCTGGTTCACTTCGCCTGTCACGGCCACGCAAATGCACTAGAGCCCGCGGCAGGCGGTTTATTCCTCGGGCCTGCTCCGGTCCACGGAGCCGATGGACAAGCTCCTGCAGAGCTTCTCACGATCAATGAACTAACACACGTCTCTCATCCCCGTGCACAGATAGCTTATCTATCGGCTTGCTCGACGGCAGAGAACGCTAGTGACTCGCTGATCGATGAGGCGATCCACCTGGCCGGCACCTTCCAGTTACTGGGGTTCCCGCATGTAATCGGGTCACTATGGGAGGCGAATGATCGAGCAGCGATTTCTGTTGCGGAGGGGTTCTATAAGAATTTAGTGGAGTATCTGTTGGCGCCGGAATCGAAGTGGGACGGAGATGATGGGAGAATTGTGGCCACGGCGCTTCATCGTGCTGTGGGAGAGGTCAAACAGAAGAATAGGGATCCCTTGGCTTGGGCGACGTTCATTCATGTCGGGGCTTAGGAAGTTGATTTTCAGGGTTAGTTATGTCTTTCTGGCTTAATCATCGCTAGCTTGAGGGCCTTTATCTATTTTGTTCTGAGACAGATGGGAACTGTCAATAGTACTAATGTAATATTATGGTATATATAAACAAAAATATCTTACTACTACTAACCATACGGCATTTGATGGTACAATGCCCTCCTCCCAATGCCTACTAAACTGGTGTGTGCAGTTTGTTTCACCTAATAGATCAATACTACTACTACTACTACTACTACTACTACTACTACTACTACTACTATGGTTGAGATACACCATTTGCTGAATGGATTAAACAGTGATCCAGGGGTAGGAAGGAAGAGTTCCTCATACAGCAAAAGCTTTGAAGAAAAGAGGGTACCCATTATGACTACTGTTTCGTGAAATATCATTATCGTTCAACTATTCCTAGAGCAGGTCATCCCTCCACCATTATGTTAGTAGTGTCCCTCGTACCATTCAGTCATGATGTTACGCATTCCGGAGGAGAATATTCGGCATTTCCCTCTCATATTTCTGTTCCATCCGTCAGCGACACATCCAACACTCGAGATTCCACGAAGAGAAAGGAAAATACAAACATACCTTCGCATACGCATCCCGCAACCGCATCTCCAGAAAACACTTAGACAACATCGTCTCTTTTAACCAGTAGTCATACAGTGCCCGACCATCTGGATCTCCGGAAGGGTCCAGCGCCCTCTCTAGTTCCTCACGCACAATACGCCATCCGCCCATCGATTCTAATCCCAACAGGTATAAGAGATGACCTACATGTACCTGGAGAAGGGCATGATGCACCAACTGCCACATTCTAGGTAAGTTATCAGTAAGAGTACGTGCACCGGGGGGGATTTCTTTGAGGGCATTCTTGTTGTTGGGATGGCGAAGAAACGTAGAATAATGGATTCCGATTCCGTCAAAGTCGCGAAGCGCGAACCCTCTTATCTCCTTGCTTGTGAGATTGACGCGGACGAGGATATTTTGGCTATGAGCTTCGAAGTAGATTCCGTGGCGGATCATAGGGGGGAAAATGAGGGAGATTAATTTGGTGAGGTATCTTTTGTTTAATTGGTCATTTTTCGTCCAAGATTAATAGAGGTTGCTCGTATATAAATAGCGCATAATATCATTACTACTTACTTTCTGAACCAGGCTTGTTTTCCCTTCAAGTCATCAAGACCAAATATAATCTCCACGTACGTTCGATCATCGTTGAAAGGTCTCTGCGATAGTCCCGCAATGGGGATGAGTGTCTCCCCGATGTCCGCCGCTCGTTTTTCTAGGCTCTTTCGGATAATGCATGTTAATTGGCAGGCTTTATCAAAGTCTTCCTGGGCACCTGTAACAGAAGCTGCTTCTTCAAAGATCCATAGATCCTGGGGAAGCAAACTTTGCAGGATCTTCCCGACTGCGGGTACTAAAGCTGCAGCATAAGGGGAAATGGTCCTGAGACGAGATGTGATTTGGCAATCCAGCGATAGCTTCAGATGCAACGGGGAGCCGCCCGCGTCTGGCATCATAGAGACAGTCCGCATGGAGAGTTGTGCTCGGCAACGGTTTTGGACAGCCCTCAGAATGCGTGCTTTCGGGAATAGTGGCGTGATAGCTGGGAGTTGGCGACTGAAACACGGTATGACGATCTCATTGATTGTATCATCAGGCTTGGGGATCCCAAGAGATGCTAAAAGTGGGTCCAGAAGTGACTGGAATGGTCCGAAGACTTTCATGTCTGACTTTGGAACGCAGAGGAATGATAGTTCGGGTTCTAGTAGATAAGGGATATCATCGGGCATGATGGGATCTAGGGGTGACTGGGCAAGGCAGGCTCGGTGTAACTTCGATAAGGTTAACCTCAAGTCTAAGGCGAGTAGGTAGGACAAGGTGGGGGAAATGTTGTTGTAGTACCGGATGTGTAGGATGTCCAGATACGACTGATTGCTCCCAATCACATAGTGAAGACTTAAGATGTAGGATTGGCAGAGTACTGGCCATATCCAACCATTTCTCTGTCTCAGCATTAGTTCTTATCTTTGAATCGTTTAGGTTGAACATAGCTGTTGGTTCACCTTGATTGTTTGCAGAATTCCGTACCTCCTTTACAAGCGTCTCTACCGCGTGTTCTTCATCTTGGCGAGAACGCCAGCGGCAGATAACGCGACAAATCACACCAGGGTCAAGCTCCTTTGATACCTCGCCGTTGAGGTTCCGGCTTAGCACAGGCTCCAGGAGATCGTCCGCCCGCACAAACCCAAGAACCCTGCCACCGTCTGTTTCGGTATATGCGTCAGCTCGCATACCGCACATAATCCAAGCGTCTTCATCACTGGCCATGGCTCCTCCGGGACTGCGTAAGCACAACAACAGACCGGTGCTGTTACATGACTCAAGGGTTGCGCAGGCTATCCCATCGTTTATCGCACTGGCAAGTACTCGTTTAGTTGTCTCAAAGAGCGCTCGTCGCCGATTGGGCGATATGGAGTTTCCTAGTAGGGGTCTTGTCATGCTAAGATGTCTCAAGGTTTGCCGATCATTATGGGGGCATGTAGTTGAGCTTCTCGATCCATCCTTTCCCACTGTATCTGGTCCCATTCCAACGGTCTGCAACAGCATGATGATAGCCACGGGAGTCTGAGAGATAATTGAACTGATCGCGATACACATTCGCCATTCTAAAGGCGTGGTCCACATAATAACAATATGTAGGACTTGAATCCTCGGTCTTAGCCGAAAGTCTGTGACATCAATATATTCCCTAAGCGGAAATGAGTTCCAGTAAGGCTGAGGCAGTTTGTGGTATCGCCTCGGAAGAGGCCGAAATGCAACGTCACTCGGGAATCCTACTGTTTCAGATAAGGACCTTTACTGGACCAGATCCAGCTAGAAACGTTAAAAGAATAGTGGAATTGTCATGGCAACTGGGTATGTGGAACAGTCAAGTGTTATCTCATATCCCATGAGGCTTGCGCACATTGCTGCATACTTTAAGCATAAGAGCCGTAGGAAGGTATGGCGGAGTGATACCCACGCCATGAGTTAGTATATAAATCACGTCTAGTCCTCGGTGAGAAAACCAAAAGGGAGGACTCTAGTTTGATAATATAATTGCGAAAGGTTACATCACGTCCAACCAATGGCGAGTTTCTCGTGAGTTTTCCCTGGGTGTCTATATTTTCCGACATACTGATGAGCCTTTTTCTGCTCCGCAAGGGATGAAGGTTATGACTGTTCAGCATATGCTGCACATCGCCCTTCCCCTCCTCAGGCTCTGTACGACACCGTTTTAGCCTACCATCAGTCTCCCCACGAACTATGTGTCGACCTGGGCACTGGCCACGGGGCTGTGGCTCGCGCGCTGGCCACCCATTTCAAATCTGTTATTGGAGTTGATTCCTCCGAGGGCATGCTAAAGCAAGCTGCAAGAGCTCAGAAATCGGACGTCAGCAATATCCAATATCACCAGTCCAATGCAGAGTCTCTCCCCTTCATTGCATCGAAGACGGTTGATCTGGTAATCGCCTGTCAAGCAGCACATTGGTTCGACCCTGAACCGCTCTGGAAAGAGATGACACGAATAGTCCGTCCTGGGGGTACTGTTGTTTTCTGGAACTGGGGCCACTACGTCGTAATGGGACGCCCGAAGGTTAATCGGGCCCTGCAAAAGTTTTTCTTTGAGGATCTGGTACCGTACTGGCCTCAACCAGGGATATCAGTGTTCAACAATGAATGGATGTATCCCGTTGAATGCCGGGACTTTGCTAACTGGACCGACCTTACAAGGTTGGTGAGTATTCCTGCTGATGATGATGCGCCTGGCGTGTTGGAGACGCCAGGAGCTATAAAAATGCGTGCATCACAGACCCTTGGTAGTCTGGAGACCCTGATACGGACATTGAGTATGGTCCATGAATGGCGCAAGGCACATCCTGAAGCTTTATCAGTAAAAGAGGGCGGATGTGGCGACTGCGTGGACACTCTCATGCGAGATATGATCGAGGGCGACGAAAAATGGCACGCCTTTGTTACGTCGGGGGGCAATTGGCGGGGCATCGAGGTAGATCTCGAGATGCGCAGCATTCTGCTAATGGCTCGAAGGAAACAGTCCCTGTCGTACTGCGCAGATCCGCATGAACGCCAGCCATGACAGCATTCGTTCACCTTTCGATTGAACCTATGCAAGTTGGACCTATCTAAAGCGTATGCGTTCTGAAGGATACTATAGATCGCCTTGGGGGAATAATCGAGAATGGAGGTTCAAAGTTTTGGAGAAAGTATGTAGGAGAAGATGAAGGAGCGGCCCGCTGCTGCTGCTTAGCAGGTCAGGTGCCGCACGTGGTTTTTCTTCTTCGCGGATTGTTACCATTTCTATTCTTTAAGTTGCCTTTGGATATTTGTCACCCATAGTATTACGTTAATCTTGGATATTCCTATCAACATTATAGAATTCATTATGATAATATGCGAGAGAAGAGAAGGCGACACCTTTGAGATCATGGTTATTATATATCTGTCCTGGCTCGACAAACAGTCTGCAGCTCTGACCGAGTTGACAATAGTCTATGAGCTATTTTTCTTTAATATTTTCTTTTCTTTTATCTTCTTTCTTCTTTCTCTTGAAAGTCTGAGGGTTGGCTGGCTGGCACCATAAGATCTATCTAAAGGATGATCTGCAAGTCGATGCAGCTATTACTAGATAGATTAGTTGAATTTTATGACGCCATGACGATCCACGAAAGTTAATATCATGGGGTCTCCGCATGTTATTATTGTTGCTATATTAAGCATACTAGGATGGGGAATGCGTCAGAGATCGACCGTCGTATTTATGATTTGTATGAAGCATGGAGCTGCATGAACATACGGCAGGCACGTAGCACAAGCATTACACGGGTGAAAGTGGAATGTAGCCATGTGATCATCTAGTCAGATTGCATTCACATGCATATAAATATATATTATTGGAAGAAGATATGAGAATATTTATAGAGAAAGTAGGCAGAAGTGTAAAAAGTTGACTGGTCGGTGAATGTAAATGGCATGAACGTCCTGACATTCAAGGAAGAGCTTCCCGACCAGAAAAAGAAAAGAAAAGAAAGTCCCAAATCAATAAGAGCTATCTAGCAACATGTCTGAAAGTAGGATGGGGGTATGCTGTGGTTCATCTGCCGTCTATATGCATAATTCGTGATCATCAATGCAAGGGGGTTCGTAACCAAGCATGGGTTATCGTCATTGATCGGCATGTGCGCATTCAAGTTCGTGGGTGGTGTGCGTCGGCCACTCGTCATTTTCCGTTTCCACATCCGACGAGACAGATGAACTGGGGCTGGAGTGGTAGAGTGTGGTACTGGCGCTGGAAAGCGGAGGGTCGGAGGACGGGGTCTCCGTTTCGGACTCGTGCGGTATCGTTTCAGGCTGGGACACGGATGATGTTGAACCCGTCTCATCCTGGACGGGATGAAGCAGTTTGTCACGATTCTCTAACGGTCCCAGGGTCCATCGCCATTCACAGCGACGTTTAGCTCGCTTCCTGCGCGGCGTTTGTGGTGTCAGGCTGCCTGGGTTGCTGGGTCCCGCGATTCCGTCCATCAAGGCCACTGCCCGGACTTGCCTCTCGGCATTGGAATGTTTGCGCTTCTTCCGCTTGATGGGAGACGATGTCTTCTTCCCTAAGCCGGCCTCGGGCTCATCTTCGGAAGTGCTGGAATCCGAGGGACACCCGCTGGCGTTTGAATCCGAGTCCTCATCTGATGAGGTCACCTCTGGTTGCTGAGGTTGAGGTTGAAGTTGAGGTTGAGGTTGAGGTTGGAGTGCAGGCTCGGGTTCATCGTGTAGATCAGAGTGGCGTGCCGTGTAGTGCACGGTCTGAATTTCCTCTTCCAAGGGATTGCGATAGCTGACTTGCTTCTTCGCGGGAAAGAAGACGCGGCGCGCGCTCGGTCCACCATTCGGCCCGGTAGTGGCCACCGATCCAGCCCGTCGGCGGCAGGTCGGCTCGAGCGGCGAGTTTCGCAGAATACTCTTCACCCCCAGTGGGAGTTGGTATGGGTTGTGTGTGGTAAATGGGGAGGATGGTTTGCTGAAGCGTTGGTTGGATGGGTATTTGGATGACGGAGAGGCGGTGGCAGACGAAGGACCGGTGACCTCGTAGGCATTTTTGAAGGTATTACGGACGGTAGGAGATGCCGTTCCGGCTGCGAGAGAGAGTGACAGTCCCGTTGAGGATGTGCCAAAGGTTCGGGGAAGAGAGGAAGTTTGGAGAGTCAGCTTCGGTCGGGATGATATCGTAGTTTGTTGCGTGGCACTGGCGGATGAGGAGGATGAAGAGGAGGAGGAGGTGGTGGTGGTCGCAGTCGAAGCCAGACTGCAGACCATGTTGGAGGAAGAAGACGAAGGGTGGGATGCTTGCGGGGTCATGGGGGTTGCGAGCATGGCGAAGGCCCCCAAACACAACGGCGGAGGGAGCAGTAGAAGAAGAAGAAGAAGAAGAAGAGGGAGGAAGAGAGGAAGGAGAGGATAAACGAAATGAGATCAGAAAGCGAGGAGGTCTTTGGGGGGGTGCAACAGTAAGGCCCCGCACCAAGAAGCAGCAAAGACGAAGCAGAAGCAGTAGCGCCTTGCCAACAGCACCGGAGTGTGATTCAAGATGCAGAAGTGCAACAACCGGCTCCAAGCGCGTTAAATCCAGGGACGATAAGGTTCTGAAATAAGACCAGGTGGGATCCCAAGCACTGGAACCAAGCAGACAAGAGACGTGGGCGCTTGTACGAGGGTCGCCTTATTTTAGAATGATCTGCGACTCATGGTTTGCTGGAATGTTTGAAGAAATGACTGTTGGAACCAGAGGATAAGCCAGAGGATAGGCAGAAGAAGATCGATTAAAGTCAGTCCAAGAGGAAACTGGGTTAAATGAAAATGCAAATGAAAATGAAAATATCTTTTAGCCGCGGGGGAGGGAAATTAAAGAAATTAAGAAATTAAGAAATTACTGTTAATCAAAAGTGCTAAATTTACGAGTCTTCGCCATCCTATCATCCAACCATCCAACCATCCAAGCCGGGCTGGTGGATGGAGTCGCTGGACTCCATCGTACCCTCAGCATCTCCATTCAGGCATGTCTTCACAGTCTCAGTGCTTCTCTGCTGAACCACCGACCGGCTAGTCGCTCTCCATCTAATTATAACCCAACTATTGACGCCGCCGCCGACGGGCCCCAGTTTTCCGATGATCGAGAATGGCCGATCCTTCCAACGGCTCCATTCCATCTGCCATCTTCTGGCCATCGACGCCCGGGCGAGACACGCGGCCGATCCATTCCTCTCCGCCATGTCTCTGCTAGAAATCTGCCTAGTGTTGACTCATATCCACCATGAGTGTATGTTTTGATTCATTTCCACGTTGGAGTATTGCTGGTTGTCGTTCCCGGGCACGAGTTGCAAGTCGTTATTTATAGCAATTGAACTGGAGCAGGAAAAAAGGAAAAGGTGCGCGTCACAGTGCCGCCCTTACGTAAGGCAGTTGCATCTGGCACAGACCAATCAAAACTGCAGCTGACGCGGTGTTCTAAAAATGGGATAGTCCCTGCACGAGTGACTGTGGGGAAATGACACCAC